TTTGGCAAAATGAATGCATGAAAAAAAAGAAAAGGGGAATTAATCCTGGAACTTATTCCCTGTTGGGAAGCTTCGGTAATCCCTTTCGTATGAGACGCCCCCCCCCCCCCCCGTTAATACCGAGGGTCAAACATTACTTCCGCAAGATTTTGTTTTTTCAAAACTCTTTTACAATATTGATATAGTAATTATGTCTAATCTCTAGAAAGACTAAAGTACTGAAATGTTGTCATAACTATTTATAAATATTGTGGTATCATTTAGTATTTAAGGAAATTTTACTGCTATATATCTAAAATTTAAAGAGAGCATCAAAATGGCCATCGTAGCAGAATGTTTACAAACAAAAACAAAACAAAACGAGACGTGCATCGTGTTATATAAGAATAGCCCGGGAAGAATAGGTGGTGGTGTGAAAAGACACTCTGACAGTTAAATATTTAATGTGTTTCTTTAAACACTAATCAGGCAAGAACAATGTCATTTACTGTTTAATACATGCCCAACCCGACCCTATCCCATCGCACACACGGCAACAGACGGCAATGAGACGTTTTAGTAAAATGTAGACATTCGCTTAAAAAATCGATGCTCACGGATAGCAGTGAGTCGCAGTTCAAGATCCTATCTTGGCATTTCTCCCGCTAATTTTATCACTTACATGTCAAGTGTTCCTTCACCTACCTTGGTACTCTTATATATTTTAATCCATCAGTGAAAATAATCCCGAGTCAGATATTTCACGAGTCGAAGCTGTCGCAATAATCCTCACTGTGAAGATCCACACACTTCAAACGCCAAGAAATAAATGGACGTGCTATTGTCCGCCTTCCCTCCCGCTGACAACGGGCTACAATCATGGAGGTGACAGCTTGTTACACCTTCATGCATACATTAACACGTTTTACTACTTCACAGCAACGTGACATTGTGGGCAATTGTTCCCTTCACCATCATAGTTGCAACAAAGCTGGTTTTACTATTTAATTTATTTGAAATTGATGTAAAACAAAACCATTTGGTCTACGAGGGCTGATAAAAGTAAACGGCACAGACACCTCATCTCAGTCTTGGTGGGAACTGCGTGACGTCATTTGACAACCGTAAACTTCCTTCTAGTTGTTACTAAGTGGTTAGCTATATTTGTATGTGTACACACGTAGTAAACATCTGTGTACAATTAAACCAGAATGTTTGTCGCCAAATTACCATACCACTACGTGTACTTGCATGTATCGATTTGTGCGGGTGAGGCAAAATACGGACGGGGATCAGCCCCGAGGGCGGGAAGCCATGGCAACAGTCTTGGGGAGACTGAATTTCAGTACTGAGCAGCTAGATTATTCCGATGGATGAGGTTCATCTGGTACCGAGCCTGGTTTGCTCGACACGCGTGGTGTTATAGTTGAGGCTCATGCCTGGTTCACAACTGATTTCACCCGGTGATTGATGGGGACCTCGAATCCCCGGCCGGGTAAAGAAACGGACTCTCGATCTCGGAACGTCATCAACCGACTAAACTCAGAGAGCGCCCGGAACGTCGAACATTGCATCGGTTTCAGTTCCTTATTTATTTATTTGTTGATGGGGGGGGGGGGGGTAGTCGAACTCCCCAAATATAAATGAATTTTGGAAGTAGACTGGTACATAACAAACAATAATAATTAATTAATCATCTTAATTGAATCAGCGGGATAATTATCAACCTCAGCTGAAATTGCACTGTATGATGAGTATTTTGGTTGTGACGAGCTTAAAATGATAATCGCGACGTTACGCCTGCTTTTATTGGCTGGAAGGCTAAACAGAAGCCAATAGAAAAAGTTGTTATAAATGGACAAGCTTTTATTTGGCAATTCGGCGATGCTGTAACGAGGAACTCGTTCAAGCATTAAATAGCTATTGTCAAATATAAAAATAAGACGGATAGGCATATTTATACAACATTTACAAACAATAAAGTAATGACAGTCTCTTCCTTAATTGTGTTCTTTGTCACGGTATATTGCATACTGTCTTAACCAGGTGACATCAGCAAAAAGCTACAAAGTACCAGTAAAAATATATTCCAAGCTTGTGAATTCTTAAGTAGATTTGATATTTACAACCTATCTTCACCACATCCACACCAAAATTATATTATATATTATTAATCGCTAAACTTCAAGTTATGTAATCATACTGACAAATTGCTGACGTACAGATTGCTGACAGACGTACAACGATGTGAGGGAGAATATGCAAACATGCAAACCTACGTGTGACCACAGGGAGTTAGACAAACTTATGTATTTTAATAAATTATATAACTTTTCTTTCACCACCCCTCCTGGTCTCCTGGGATATTTTACTATACTAGGATGTGTCTACAACGCGCGTTAAAATTTGCATATAACATTAGCGCGTAACAAAGTTGTGATGAAGGAAAGAGTGGTATAAACACAGATCAGTGATTAATTGAAATCGATACCAGGAAGGGTGGTAAAAGAAAAGTTATATAACATTTTATTATTTAATAATTTATTAAAATACAAAAGTTTGTCCAACTCCCTGTGGTGTGACAAGGCGTCAGACACAACGCTCAAATAATACACCGGCAAGTACACTTGAAGAATATTGCAGGTTAAATTTAGCTATTTCTTTTCTTGGCCTTGCACCTATGATTTTTTTGTCTGTTCAAAATTCCGCCATCTAAACAAAGACTGGAATGTATACTTGCCTCGTCGACCATGCTATCATTATTTAGGAACAATTAAATGATATATTAAACTGAATAACAATGAATATATATATACACACTATACGTAATTTGACCAGACAAGAGGAGAAAGTTAAGTGAACCACTGTAATTTCAATAATGTATCATATAACACGTTACTGGTATGTCAATACAACTATGAATACATTGATAAAAGAGAATGATATTTAGACATTTTAATGATTACTTTGTGACATCACTGGTGATGATAGTGGTGAAAATATACAATACTCTATATAAGTACCTTTTTTGTCAAAGTAGATCCCTGTCAAGTGGGGTGCATCATGGTGTATTGATCCCTGTCAAGTGGGGTGCATCAAGGTGTACTGATCACTGCATCTAATATTTACATCTCCTCGGTGATCAATCAATCAACCAATACCACACGCGGTTGACCGACCCACCCGGTAACAATACAGTTAACACGCCTTCAAAAATACCTCAAGACATACCGCCATGCATAGTTACCCGTGCAGCACTGATAACACAGTGGTTTGAGTTTTAATAATAAAGTTACCGTAAAGATAGACATCAAGTTATTTTCTCTTCGCCCCCAATTTTCTAGTCAGATTATGATTGATTCGATTCTAAAAGTATTTAGTATTTATTTATTTAGCTTTTAAATAAATTACGTGTGACTATAAAGTGTATTGTAATATTATTTTACCTGTTTCAATCGTTTTACTTGAATTTTTATAACAATCGATGACCAGCCCCACTGAACTCATATGACTCTCTATGCAATCACAAAACGACAAATAAAATATTCTATTATATACGTGCTTGTCATAAATAATCATGAAATTGTGACGATTAATTTTAAAGAAAATTATGTTTTAACATTGATTCTCATGGAAATTGCGTCTTTTGTTTGAGTTTTTTCCCAACAAAATATACATGTATCTTACTGGGAAAAACCCGGATAAGTTGGTGACATTTGTCAAAATCAATACTCATGCCACATTTTTGAAACAAAAGATTGTGATGTATTTTTTGCCCATATGTATTATTGCCCAATTTCCTTGATCAAATTTCATCCAAACATGTCTCGTTACTTTGACAGCTCACTCAACGCCGTGACTTGGTCTTGTATTGAGGTTTTTTCTTCAATTGATTTTTAATTACTTGCAACTCATTAAATCTGGTCTTTTAAAAGTACTCTTGTTGCCATGGAAACTATATCGGAATGCATAACGACTGTTATGAACATCAGTGAGAGTTAAGATAGCGAGACATAAAGCGTGTTTGGTCATATAACTTCCCGTTGTGTGATGTCACTAAGGTTACCAAAGAAACATACCTACTTTTTCTTTCCAAGGCGTATTGTACCAGAAAGTAAATATCTGAAATCGGTCATATTTTGCCAAGTCCGATCGTATATACAACAAATCTTTCAGAAATTTGAAAATGCAAATAATGGTGCCAACACAACCAATTACTTAGATTCTATGTATGAATGAACATATTTGTTTTTTAAACTCCGTAAATTTGACACTATTGAGACACGAGTAAATACAAAAAAATAGGGATCAACACGCTTATAAATCTTGAATGAATAACAGTATTTGTTTTATTAATGAAGATGGGGAAGGGGCTATCGTGAATTCTGATATGCATTCAAAATATACCGAAATTAGCTTCCGACATGAACACATAGATTATGTCACAGAATTGCGCCCTCTAGTAAAGGCAAAAATTCTAACGACAGAGGGCGCAAATTACATAGAGTAATAATAAATTGATCCTATTATTTTTTATATTTGGTTTGATATTGAAATATCACAAAACAGCGCCCAGTTTTGTTCTAAACTCTATATTTTTAATTATTTATAACACAAAACGTATCTTGATTATTAAAGCAATGCTAACTATACATTAAAATGCGCACCAACCACCAACCACATAATCATTTCAGTGGAGTTGATTTCTATTGAACAGTTTTGAAAAAAAAAAAAAAAAAATCAGGACATTCTGACTTAAACATTGTTTACGTCAATACTTAGAGTATTACATAATGATGTTTGGACACATTATTTTCATTTAATGCGTACACAAATTTCTGCTTTTTCATTGTGTTTTTATTTTATTTTTGATTGTTTAAAATCACAATGTTTGCTGCGTGCTGACATTATTCCTGTCAGAAAATTAGTAAATACTATAAAATGTACAGAATAAAAACGAATTTCAAGAAACAAGGTTAAACAAGAATAATGTTTGTACTCGTAATTTATTTTGTAGATCAACAGTAGACTGCCGACAGTCGGTCGTGCCTAATATTAATCTGTTATTATTAATAAATAAATGTTGTGTATAAACGTAATAGGCGTGAATACATTGCGAACGCCGGGACAGGAAGTATGGAGTGCCGTTAGGGAGTAAAGTCCCTCGGGTGAAATGCTTCGCATTTCCCATCTTCTGCGTTTGAATATCTAGGATACACAATTACATTAGGCCAGAGGACTGTTGACAGTCTAATCAACAGGTAATTATCTGAAATGAGTTTCAGTTATCCCAAGGTAATTCGCAACATATTACGACATAGAAACTGCGAGATGGCTTTATGTACTCTTTTATTTTATTGCTTAGTGTGTAGCCATAGAGCAAAAAATCACTGACAGTGGGTGAACAGATTAACCATTAAGACACACACCAGTTTCCAAAACTGCCACAAACAAGAACAAAGTAAAATAAAATAAGGGAATCAATTTTCCCTAATCCGTTTATAGAAAATTATATAATTTTGTCCCAAATCTTGTATATATATGTACTCTGTCTTATATAAAACTGTGAACTAAAACTGAAACTATATAATAAGTGAAATAATTTCACAGTTCCGAATGGTCATGGTAATTACTTCTTTTACGTCGCCGCTTGGCATCTGGATATGTAACTTGAAATCTTCCTTGGTCTAAACTACTTGCTACAAATACAGCATTGCCTTCTATGGTGCCATCATGTCCATACAAGCCACTGTCTGACAACACTGTAGTTCCTGTAGGTACGTA